GGAAGTGATAAAACACAAAGAGAAGAGCTCTGGGAGGTCACGTAGTGGATGTTGTAGTAACCTGCAGAATCCCTCGTGAGCAAACAGGCAAAGGCTGTGGGGCTCTGGGGCGTGCAGGAGGAGGCTCCGCTGTAGTTTTAGTTATTAGGAATAATACGCAATCTCTGTTGCATAGTATTGCAATCTCGATATGCAATCTCTATTGCATATTCTAGATGGCATGCTGCAGCACGTTGGATAAAAGGGGAAAAATCATCTCATTATATAAAATCTTAGCTCAGCAGCTGGAATCCACCCAACAGCTTGGTTTTGTGCCTGAGAATTGTTGGAAGTAGGGCATAGCAATGGGAATTCCTACCTCACCTTTTGTTTCCTCTGAAAACTGTTTGCCAGGTGACTGGATACATTATGATACATGGCGTGCTGCAGCACGTTGGATAAAAGGGGAAAAATCATCTCATTATATAAAATCTTAGCTCAGCAGCTGGAATCCACCCAACAGCTTGGTTTTGTGCCTGAGAATTGTTGGAAGTAGGGCATAGCAATGGGAATTCCTACCTCACCTTTTGTTTCCTCTGAAAACTGTTTGCCAGGTGACTGGATACATTATGATCAGAACAAAAACGAGCAGAAAAGAAGCGCAGTCAGTAAGTCAATCTGAAGATAAGTCGGGGTCGCTTATTTTCTGTGTACCTCGCTTGCTGTTGTAGCTCAGGTGATACGAAAGGAGTCACGTCACCTCTCCCTTGCTTCTTAGGTGTCAAAAAACGGAAGCCAGCCATCAGCGTTTCGGAAGAAGACGAGCTCTGTAGCAAAAAGCAAAAGACCAGCAATACTGCAGGTAGAGCATTTCTGTGTCATTTAAAATAACAGGTTTGGGGTTGGTTTGTTTTTTTTTTTTTTTTTTTTTATCCCGTGAATTGAACCCGAGCTCACTTTTTTAAAGACTTCCACAAATCTGAGCATGAAATATAGGCGGAGCAAGCGCTGCTTTTGTAGATGCAGGATTTGTACCTCCATTTATATACTTCGGTACACCTTGTCATTCATTCGGTAAGCAAATGGGGAGAAGCAGCTAGGAAATTTGCTTTATAAGGGTCAGCTAAAATGGTCATGTCTTCTAAGACTGGGAAATAGTGGCTTCTTTTGAAAGGTTTCTGCTGCATGTCTCAGATTTTGCGTTTGGGATATCTCCTGAGCCGTAACAGGCTGAATTTTTCTGGGGAAAAAAAAAAAAATCATCTCCTGTTTATTTGTTGACATGTGATGTTCTGATGGTCAGAAATGCTTGGTGTCTGGGAGCTCTCAGCCAGAAACTGCTCATTTACTAGTAGTTGCTTGGAAAAAATACAGAAGAAATAATGTTAGTTCCCTAAATAATGAAAAAAATCAGCAAAAGTAGGCATGTCGGTATTTATTTATGGGTGCGTGTAGCCACCAGAGGGAGAGCTTCATCCCTCAGCACCTCGGTTTTACGTCTAATTGGTGACAGCGAGGAGGAAAGTGGCTCAGTCCCTGTAACCGCGCCGGCTGAGACTTCTGAGCCGTTGTAATTAAAGGAAAAACAAACATCTGGAGCAGCTGGAGGCTGCAAGAAAAACTGGCGTCTGAACTTGCCAGGAGGTAGCGAGTGCTTAGCATGGCCTTAATGTTACATGTCTCAAAATCTCTGGGTGCTTGGTAACGTACAGTTCGTACAGATGTTCTACTAGATGAATAGCTGCTTATAAACGGAAAAAAAAAATCCTTTACAGCAGCCAGCGTGCAATCAGACGTTGTCATCTTCATAAGCCAGGTGTCTTAGTCCTTCAGGTGCTTTTCTCCAGCGCTTGGCTCTGACCTTGCCGGATAATCTGAATAATAAGATCACCTTCATTGTATGTCCCCTGGCCATGCACAGAACTAATAGTGTCATTTAGTTACAAGTTTAATGAGAAGAGCGACGTTAAATCTGATTTTTGTTCTATGTCTTTTCAGATGGAATTGAAACAAAAATCTTAACTGATCAACAGCTGATGATGATCGCAAAGCTGTTTGGTAGGCAGTGGAGAGAAATTGCCATTGAGTGTCTTCAGATGGAAATGAAAGACATTGAGCAGATTCAGGCAACGGAGGAAGAAGTTAATATGCAAAAATTTCTGGTGTTAAGCAAGTGGAGAGACAGGGAGCAAAGCAACGGAACTGCAGAAGCTTTGTACAGAAGTCTCTATGAAAAAGCGTCCTATGAGATACTGCAAGCCCTACAAGGTATCGCCTTCCCGTTATATTTATTTAATTACATCAGTGTGTTTCAGATGTATTTTAAGAATTCACATCAGAGAGTTTACTGAAGACCTCGTACGTGTTTTACTACGTAGGTCAAAATTGTCTCCCTTCTGATATTAGGAATGACTTTCTTTCTTGTGGCATTTTTATACTTCCCTTCAGAAACTGATATAAAATGAAGAATATTTTTGCACCGACTGTGTTGAGAGTACTCTCAGCATGACCTAGCCGTCACGAAGAAACCAGTCAGCGTTACATACCCAAACCAATTCTTGGTTTTCTCAGGAAGTCCAAAGAAGAGATGTTTGGGTCTTTACTCTTACGTATTTTAGGAAGAGTTAATTAACACCTTCCCCTGACGGATGACTTAGCGGTTCGGTCCTGCAGGCGTGTGTAACGTATTTCCTTACTGCCCGTGGGTCCTCCCACTGATTTCGGGGGGACTCCTTATGCTCGGTTCAACTTGTGCAAAGCAAACTTGTTCAGTGGGCTGAGAACTCAGCCAGCCAAGGGGAACCTTGCTCCAAAATGAAATATATTTTCTTCTGGAACAGGCAAAACTCTGTTCTTTCTTAATTTTCCCTAAAAGCAACCTGGCTGCGACGGGTGGAGAGCTGCTCGTGCTCCCCCGCTCGTCTGACCCTCGCAAAGCTGTCTGTTGCCACAGCCTTGTGCTGTGTCATAGGCTTTTAATGCATTTTTTTATTCAACTTAATATTGCAGTAGCTTGTAGAGGTCAGATAATCTGTGTGTGTTTGTGCGTGTTCCTTTCCTCAGGTTTCTGGGCTCGGTGCTGAGCTGGAGCTAGAAGGAGCGCGGCGGGAGCTTCCCCAGCCGGCCGTTCCGCTTCTCCGGCCGCTTCCCCGGGATCTCGCTGAGATTCGGGAAGGAAGATGCAAGGCATCATCACTCAGCGGAAAGTTTAGGCAGGATCTTTGCAAGAAATGTGAATGAAATTTTGCACGGATATAAGCCCACGTAAGACTTTCAGGAGCGATTACTCATGCGGTGGATCCCGGCATCGCAGCCGGCAGTGCTGGGCTTTGTGTCTGGGGAAACCCGACACTGGCACCCAGTGGGTTTGTCTCCTTTGAGCCAGTCCTAAAAGACATGAACACTGGAAGAAACCAGTTTACCTTGTTCAGGTATATGCTTGTTATCTGGAAACGTTTTTATTTACATCAGGGAAAGACAGGGAGAAAAGTTATGCAGAAATTTTCGTCCCCTTAAAAAAAAAATTGAACTGCCAAAATCATGAGGTACGTTGTATTTCTCCCAGATGCCCAAGATCAGGGAAGAATAATCCTAAACTTGCAGATAAATTCCTTTGCATAATCACTGTATATATACAAAATTACTGTATATACTTGTGTACATTCAGTCCTTGTTAAGCTGTGGTTCTGTTTTCTAAAAACCCGAAGACTGGTGTCACAGGAGCACCACTATTAACTCCAGGCAGCTTTGAATTTTCCCTGGGAATTTCTTCTTCACTCTTGTCTGTATAGTCTGTCTCAATTTTTATGAGATAATTTTTTATGTTGTATAATTTTTTTTTGTATTATAAACTTTTTATACTTTTTTTTTAAACTTGATTAACTTTAACTTGAATAGAATTAGGTGCTTAAAGAAAAACGGGAGAAGCCAAAATCTCTGTGAAGGCTGTTGCTCTGTCGGCAATGCACGTACTACAGAAATGGAAAAGATTTGGAAATAATCTTATTTGCAGAATAGAGCAGTGTCCTGATACAGGAGATTGTCTTGTTTTTAAAGACATGGGATTCTTTTGAGCATCTCCCTCTATGTATGTTTATGAAAGAGAAAGCATACTTTTAAAAAATAAGGATTAAAAAGGAAACATTTACACTATTTACGTATGATTTTTGATTTTTTTTTTTTTGTTTGTTTAATTTTAGCTATTGGATGAAATGTTGCAAGGTTGTCGTAAGTTGTGGGCCATCTTTCCAACCCTCGATGCTCCACTGCTAGGTACATCCCAGGGGGTGGCCGAGGAAAAGGGCTGTGTTGGTGCCCAGGACCTCGAGGGCTTTTAGGGGGGGAGAAAAGCTGTGGGAGGCGGGGAGGCTCGTGTGGGGCTCTCCATCCCCCGGCAGAGCTGCCCTTGGCTCTTCTCTCTGGGACAAGCCGGGGGAAATTGCCTTCAGGGGAACCTTTAAGATACCCGGTGGAAACAAATCTCTGATAGGACCCTCTGGTCAGAAGCAGAAATCAGTAAATCTAAGCTGGAAATAAGATGCTTGTTTGTAATAGTGAGGGTAACGGGATGGCGTAGCAGGTGGTCAAAAGAGATGATGAGGTCTTCAACCCTCAGGTTCTTCAAAGTCAAGAACCTTTTAAAAAAAAAAAAAATTATATTGTATTTCTGTGGTCTTCAGTTTGGCTTTGTCCAGTTCTTGCAGGCAGAAGGAGTTAAAACACTCCAGTTGCGCGAGGTTGCTCTTACCTTACAACGGGGTCTACGCGGGGGGTGGTCTGCGGGAGCGGGGGCCACGGCTCTGACTCCTTTGGGAAGCTCGGGGAATGCGTGAGATTACATTTGAAGAGCCGGCGTGGCGTGCGGGTAACCCCAGCGCCTGGGGGAGAGGATGAGGACGGCAGCTGTCCCCTCGGCAGTTGGAAGAGCAGGGGGGTCCCACCAGCCCCTTGGCATCAAAGGGGGCTACTTGGGGGTCCCCACAGAGGTGGGAGGGCAGAGCTTGGAGAAACCAAGCAAGGGGGGAGAGCTGAAGAAGAAGATGGGGTGGCGAGAGGGGGAGGAGGCAGCGAGGGAGCTGGCTGGGACACGGCCGAAGGGCGAGGGCGGATCTGCCGAGGAGGGGATGGAGGCTGTCCTCTGGGCTGGCTTACACGCTGCGGGCAGGAATCGGGAAGATAATCATCCCGGCATCCCTCCTGGCCTTCAAAGCTACGCATAAATCCCTGCCTCACCGAAACAATTCATTTGGTTTTGGTGGGGCCACATTTTCACCCTGGAAACTATGCAACTGGCTGGAAAATCACTGTAAATGAGGATGAAGTCGAGTGGGTTGCTTTGAGTGCTCAGTCGGAGAGAAAATCCACAAGAAACACGTCTGATGTAAGTAACAAGACGGAAACAGGATTTTAAAATATGATACCGGTGCTAAATGTTACTATGGTATACCTTTACATGCCAGCAGTATTCAAAGTGTTTTAAAAGTATTCATGCTCTATCTCAAGGAAGACAAAAAAAAAGCCACCACATTTTTTATGCAAACTTCAATTTTATTAGGCAATAAATAGAATAAATAAGGGATATCATCATAAATAAGTTGATTATTATAAATATGTTTCAATTTCTGAAAATTAGGGCTGAATAAATATAACAGTTAAGACAAATTACAGTTGAGTGTTCGGTGGTTTGGGAACATTTTGGTACTACGATGTAGCTTATTTTCTAGAAACCTAGAAGTTTAACATGATGGCTTAAAAGGCACTGACAGCAGCTCGCTAAAACGGGATCTATAAGAAACTCGGTGAAATATTATGCGCTTGGTTCCTAAAAAGCCCCCAACCACCTTGCAGGATATTGACCCTCCCATTTTTTCTCCAGAACATCCTTAGGTCAAATTTATTCCCCAAGTGCTGGAGCGCGGGGCGCTTACAGCGAGCTCTCCGGAGAGGCCAGGTAGTTCATCATCCTGTTGATGGTGACCGTGCGGATGTGGAAGGCGTGAAGGATGCTGCAGAGCCTCATCCTCTCCTTGAAGGAGGTCAGCCCCGCGCCCGGCGGCGGCCGCGGCACGCTCCTGCTGCTGCTCTGCAGGGCCTGGGAAGAGGTAGGGGCATTACAGGCTGTCAGCACCAGAGAGCGGCTGGAACAAAAGCCTCTCTAGATTTTTCACCCCCCGGGTGATAAATGACCAAGCTTAGAAATAAGAATGTATTCTCGTAAATGAAAAATTTGAAATATTTAATGATACAATTAATAGACTGAGGGTAAAATTTGAAATATTTAATGATATAATTAATAGACTTAGGATGCGCAGCTGTACTTTCCTTGAGACAAAAATGTCCATTCGTGCAGAACAGCTCTTTCTGCCCAGGAGTAAAGATGCTTTTTTAACAATAAGCCTACAGCCAGCTTTGTCTAGCAACCTCTTAGACTGGGCTCATCTGCCCGTGGTCAAAATCTCCAGGCTATTGGGAGATGCTGTGTCAATACAAAGGCAATTAATTTTTTTTTTAAAGTAGCTTTTGTTAAATAGACAAGCTTTTAACATCTATTCCCTGTACTCATTAACAATATCTATCAAAATTTACACATCCTATTTCATATTCAGTATACCAGGTGTATTATATTTCAGTATTTGGAAGAGAAATAGAGCGATGTCCCTGTGTCCTTTTACTCTATTTTTGAGTTCTCTGAGAAAATCCTGTACCCCATCTCCTTGCGAGAGCGGAGCAATGTGAAGGAAGGAGGGCTGCTAAGGGGCTACGCATCCGAGTCCTCCTGTGTTGACCACATCGGCAAGGCAAAAATATGAAGTAAGACACATAATTCATAAGAATCAAGTCCCTTCTAGGAAAAACAGTAACAGATAATTTTTTAAATTACCAGATTAAAGGAAGGTCACTATTTGATGACTACAGAATGGAGCACACTGGATTAAAAACTCTGGTTTAGGACAGAAATAGTTGAAAGGAAGGAGACAGAAATACTTACTTTCATCATTTCATCAATAGTTGCCAGCACCTTTTGATCACTGAAGTTCTTCAGCTCTGCCCTGTAGGCATTCAGATCCTCGTAGATGCCCTGCAGGCATTTACTCTGCAAAAGTCAGAATTATTAGGAAATGTAGGAATCTGTTGTTAAATGTTTTAAACATACAACAAGCAAAAGAAGGGGTTCTTTTGGGAAACTTGCAATTTACCGTATCAAAAGTAGATCTTTCCAGTGCTGGACAGTTTCCAGTCTGCAAATTAAAGAAGAAATGAGACATGGTGATTTTGTGGAAGTGTGAATTACACAGCTGTTCCATGAAAATATGATGCTGAAACTTGATATTTTTTTTTTACCCCTGGAGCCTCAGATGTGCAAGCTTTTATCGTGTTGATTTGATTCTCAGTGATATCTTCAAGATCCACCTCTTCAAGGGTACATTCGAATCCCAGCGTGCCGAGTTCCTGTGTTAAAAAGGGAATAAAAAAGGGTCATTGGCTCAGCCTCACGGTACCATATATATATATATATGTAAATACACATCATTATAAACGATGCATCACAGCTGTCTGCACTTAGCTGAATCCTAGGAACGAGGTTGTGTGAGGACTAAGGTTAAACACGAAAGCTAGCAAATAGACTAAGAGACTGAAATGCATGTGGCAGTTGTATTTGATGGGAATAAACTCGGGCTTTGCACAGATTTGTTTTATCTGTTGTTGCGAATTGCACTGCCTCCACTACTTTAAATTATTCTCTCAGACATTGAATCTATTGAGAACTTTATGTCGCTACAGTTTCAAATGTAAAGTATCTCTTAGAAAGTGAAAAATAACTAATACCATCTGCACAGACATTTAACAGCGCTCACTGACCCACTGCAACTGTGGGAAAAATACACCTAGTTAGTGGTGCGGGTTTTTGTGGCTCTCTGAGATGAAGCTTGCAACAATAGCAGGGAATTTTAGCAAAAAAAAATTCCCCTTGGCACTACTGCCAGGGGGCTTTGGTGCGGAAAGTTGCTACAGCACTAAACCAACGACACCAGCAACAACATGCAAATGTAATGACAGGGTCGGGAGCAAGTATTTCCTGAGCCAGCTCTGCAGGGGCCTTACAGAAAGAGCATATTCAAAACTGAGGGCACTCAAATCTGCTGTTGATGCGTTGCTGGCACCGCTAACGGTGTGTATGTTTCTGCAGGGCTGCAGTGAATAAGGGCTGCGAAAAACACCTGAGCAAATCCCCATCCTAAAGGGTTGGTCAGGGGAGGCATGAAAGCCAAGACCAGGTATGGAGTCTTAAAGGGAGTCTACAGAGAGCATCCACCTGCCTGGGTACCATCACTGTCCCATCACCACGCTCCTGGGTACCGTCACCTCCTACCTGGGTACCCTCACTGTCCCATCACCACCTTCCTGGGTCCCATCACCTCCTGCCTGGGTACCCTCACTGTCCCATCAC